CAGTACTGATGTTTGAACTCAGGGCTCAGCACCTCATGCTTTCTAAGGCAGGCAGTCTATCATTTGAGCCAATCCACCATCCTTGTTTGTGTTGGGGATTTTCTTTTTTAGGCAGCACTGGGGTTTGAATTCAGGACTTCATGCTTGCTAGGCAGGCACTCTTACCCCTTGAGCCTGTCTGCTAGAACTGTATTGTGTATTTTTGAGTAGTGTTTCCTGGGCCTTCACCTTGAGCCATTCCACCAGCCTTAAGTTCAAACCCCAGTACTGCAAAATGAACAAACAAAAAAAAAAGACAAGGAGGGGCTAAAGATGTAGCTCGAGCAGCAGAGCACCCAAACTTCAAACTTCAGTGCTGCGAAAAAGTCACACTTTGAAATCTAAGATCCCATCCTTTTATGATATGTCTTTGGCATTGTATTGTTGGAAAGTTTCTAATACCTTCTTCATCCTTCTTGTCCTCCTTCACTGGGGATTGAGTATTTTTGAGATAGGGTCTTGATTTTTTTTTTTTTTTTTTTTGTCCACCTAGCCTTGAGCCTCTGTCCTCCTAATCTCTGCTTTCTGAGTAGGTAGGATTACAGGCATGAGCCACTAGTGCCTGGATGCCCAGATTGTTTTTTTTTTTTTTTCTCAGTGCTGGGGTTTGAACTCAGCCACTCCACCAGCCCTTTTTTTGTGTTGGGTTTTTAAAATTTTTTTTATTTTTTTGTGTTGGGTTTTTTTGAGATAGGGTCTCTCCAGGTATTTGCTTGGACTGGCTTTGAACCTCAATCCTCCTGATCTCTGCTTTCTGAGTAGCTAAGATTATAGGTGTGAGCCACCAGCATCCAACTCAGATTATTTTTATTTTTGTGATTAGGTCTCCATGTTTTGCCTAGGCTGGACTTGAACCTTGAACTCATGAGCTCAAGTGATCCTCCTGCGTTATCCTTTTGGGTAGCTGGGTCGATATACACACTCTTGGCCCTTTGGTGTTTATCTTTCTTTCTTTCTTTATTTGGCAGCACTGATACCTTTTTGGTTTTGTTTTCTTGTGGTGCTGGGGCTTGAACCCAGAGTCTTGAGCATGCTAGGCAAATGTTCTACAACTGAGCTATAGCCCTTAGGTGTTTATCTTTTAATACTTCGTTGCATTGGTGAGAATGGCTTGCTTCTGTGTTGTTCATTTGTCCAACTTGTTTGAGTGCCAAATACTTTTCAGATGGTGCGTTTATTTATCTTCTATGACATGGCTTTGGCTGAATTTCCTTTGCTTTTTCTGGTTTTTACCTCCCTTTACATTCCTCCCTTTTTTTTTTTTTTTTTTGCAATACTGGGGCTTGAAATCGGCCTTCACCTTGAGCCACTCCACCAGCCCTATTTTTATGTGTGTGTGTGTGTGTGTGTGTGTGTGTGTGTGTGAAAGATTTTTTGAGATAGGGTCTCAAGGAACTATTTGCCAGGGCTGGCTTCAAACTGATCCTCTTGATCTCTGCCTCCTGAGTAGCTAGGATTACAGGCGGGAGCCACCAGCACCTGACTGCATTCCTCACATTTTATTAGGACAATTCCTAGCTGGGTGTGGTGGCTCACACCTGTAATCCTAGCTATGTGGGAAACTGAGGTGGGGAGGATCATAGTTCCAGACCAGCCCAGACAAAAAAGTTTGCAAGACCCCATTTCAGTCAATAAAAGCTTAGTGTTGTGGCATGTGCCTGTCATCCCAGCTATTTGAAAGTGTAAATAGCAGGGTCATGGTCCAGTCCTATGCAGGCATAAAGCAAGACTCTATTGCCAAATAACCAGAGCAAAACAGCCTAGAGGTGTGACTCAAGTGGTAAAGCACCTGCCTAGCATGTGGGAATCCCTGAGTTCAAGCCTGAGTAACACCAAAAAAAAAAAAGAACAACCACCACCTGTTAGCCACTAGTATCTGTTTTGCAGGAATCATAATAAAGGTAGCATTATTCCAACATCAATTTTTCATATAACAGCTGCTGAGTGAGCCCCTTTGGTTGGGCATAGTGTGGATCTTTGTTTCTGAGTCATTGGAAGAGAGTCTTTTCAGTCTGTTGGATAGAGGGACATTTTCCTAAACAGTTTCTAGCTGTGTGATGGGGTATGTAGCTCAAGTGGTAGAGCGCTTGCCTAGCAAGCTTGAGGTCCTGAGTTTAAGCACTAGTATCGCAAAAAAAAAAGTTTCTAGCCATCCTCCCGTCTGACTCCCTCCATCTTTGCTCTGCTTTTGGAAATATATATGAGTGTGTGTAACTTCCTTATCTTTTGGTCTTTTGACTAATCAATAATTCTCATGTGTTGGGAATGATGCAATACGATTTTCCAAGAGGTTAGAAAGGAATTCTCTTAGTAAAGAATACCAAGTATACCCTGGCGCCAGTAGCTCACACCTGTAATCCTAGCTATTTGGAAGGCTGAGATTGGGAGGATCAAAGTTCGAGGCCAGCCTGGGCAAATAGTTTGCAACCCTCCCCTCCCCCCGCCCCATCACCATAATAACCAGAACAAAATGGACTGGAGGTGTGGCTGAAGCAGTTAAGTGTGAAGCCTTGAGTTCAAACCCCAGTCCCACTAGAAAAAAAAAAAAGAATACCAAATAGGCCAAATAGACCTTCTAGACTTCAGGGCTGCACACCTATCTGAGTACCTGAGAGTAAAGTACTCAAGACTCAGGGCCTTGCATGGTTCTTATTGACCTCTGGACTGCTCATTGCTTCTTGTTATTGTTGTTTCAATCTTTCTCTCTCTTTTTCGATGTTGGGGTGGAGATCGAACTCAGCTTTGGCCTCATGCTTTCCCAGTCCTTTTGGTTTTTAGTTGTTTTTCAGTTAGGGTCTCTAGAAATGTAATAAACAAACAGGACATGAGTTGTAGCAGAAGTTAATTCGAGGTGAAGAGAAAGTAACTATGACTCAGTTGAGAAACACTGTCACTTGAGGTAGGTCTTGATGACTAGGAGCCTATGAGGTATAGCAGAAGAACAGGAAGGCCAAATAGTAGAGGAATGTTGTGTACAAGACGCAGAGGTCTGAAAAAACATGGTGTGCTGTGACATTGGCAGGTGTTTGAAGGTTGATGTCACTGGAGGGTAGTGCGTATGGAAGGTGTGGTGGATGATAAGACTGGGGAGGTAAGTTAGCTTCTTTAAAGCATGTAAAAGGAATTGGTTTTGGCCATGTGGAGTCATGGGGACTGTGAGATACTATGTTTCTAGGACTGTTAGGGTAAACCATCCCAGGGAGAACTCCTTACTCCATAGTCCTCAACCTTGAGCTTTCATGCTGAGGATAAAGTCTGTTTGGAACCCCTGAGTGGCACCTCTTATCTGACATGCCCAGGGCACCATAAACCTCTTATCATCTTTGAGCACTGGTATGAATGGAAACCTATACCCAGTTGCCTGCCTCCCCCTAGGAGCTGGTGTCAGCTTTTCTGTGGTGGGGTGAGGGAGGAACCTTTGGGATGCAGAAGGGTGGTGGCAGAGGATGAACCTTTTCACACCTCTTTCTCTTTGCTGTTAAGAACTTGGCTTTTGTTTTCTTTCAAATACACAGCAGTCCTGGCTTCCAGCCTAGATTTGAGAGGGAGAAAGGACCTATTTTTTTCAGCTCCTCTCTGAAAGTAATACAGCTGGCTCTGTTCAGGAACAAGAAGTTCCTTAGAGTGTTGGCATGTGGTCGTGCTGATGTCCAGCTGTCCCTGCTGCAAACCTGTCTCTGTCCCACTTACCGTTTCATTATCCAAGGACTTCTATGGAGGAAGTTTGGGAAGTCACTAAACTCCCCAGAGGACCAGCTGCCTTCAAAGCCTAGCATAATGAAGCCATAAGGAGTGGAGGAACCCTGGCACCCTGAAAGAAGTTTGGGAAATCCTGAAAGGTGGAAAACAGTCTGGCAATGACCCCTGGTCTGATCTAGAAAAAAGTGGATGCCTCATTGCCTTGGAGGCCCAGCTCAGGAATGTTTGCTACAATCTCATCAGTCTTTTCTGAATGTATGGTTACCAGCTACCAGATATTCTGGCACCAGCAACTAGGGTGCGGTAGAGTAAGAAAGGGGGTGTCCTGTCCAGACAGATCCATCTTAAATCATGGAGAAGAATGAATTACAGTTAATACAATATGGTTAACAAAGCAAAGGATTGTAGTGGGTGCACAGTAAATAGTTGCAGCATGAGGAATTAACAGACATCTTCTTACAGTAAGTCTTGAAAGGCGAGTGGGGGTAAGCCCTGAGGGGGAAGGCAAGGCCTACCGCCAAGTCCTGAAGCCTCAGAGAACAAGGCTGAGTGGGCAAAAGCAGAAGTTAGATCTGGCTGGCTCTGCGCACAAGTGGCCATGCGAAGTTGTGAAGACAAAGCAGTTTCCTGAGCCGCGCCTGGAACAAATGGAAGACAGTGTGGAGGTAGCTGCCAGACTGAGGAGCGGGCTAACAGGGGCCTTGGTTGGCTTTTTGGGGGCAGTGGGATCTGATGGCCAGAGGAGGGACGGGACAAGTCAGAATTAGTCCTTTTTGTATGTGTGTGTGTGTGTTTGTGTTACTAGGGTTTGAACTCAGCGCCTAACTCTTGCTAGGCTGGCGCTTTATCACTTGAGGCACTCCACCAGCCCAGAATTAGTCTTCTGAAAGGTGGCTAAGTGCTAACATTCCACCCCCGGTCCGTCCCCCTTAACCCCGCCCCCCCGCCCCCGGCGTCTAGCCCCTCCGGACCTCAGGAATTGTCAGGTTGGAGGAGAGAAATTGGACCTTGCAGCGCTCTGAAGCCCTGTCTAGACTTGATTTCTCTACTCCGCCCACCCAAGCAGTCCCAGATGGAGCAATTCTCGGGTTCGGCTTTAAGGGGCGGGCCTGGGCGGAGCTTCCCGCCGCTTCCCAGTGGCCTTGCCCGCCTAGCTGCAGTAGCAGTAGCGGAAGCGCGAGGAGCCACACAACTCAGCGAGGTCCAAGCAGGGATCGAACCACCAACTGATCGCAGGCTGCGTCGTGTCGCCGGTTCCACAGGCACCATGAGCCAGGATACCGAGGTGGATATGAAGGAGGTGGAGCTGAACGAGCTAGAACCTGAGAAGCAGCCGATGAATGCGCCTTCGGGGTCGGCCACGGCTTTGTCGGGCGGCGGGGAGAAGAATGGTCTGGTGAAGATAAAGGTGGCCGAAGACGACGCAGAGGCAGAGGCCGCAGCCAAGTTCACGGGCCTGTCCAAGGAGGAGCTGTTGAAGGTGGCGGGCAGCCCCGGTTGGGTGCGCACCCGCTGGGCACTGCTGGTGCTCTTCTGGATCGGCTGGCTGGGCATGCTGGCCGGCGCTGTGGTCATCATCGTGCGGGCGCCGCGCTGTCGCGAGCTGCCAGTGCAAAGGTGGTGGCACAAAGGCGCCCTCTACCGCATCGGCGATCTTCAGGCCTTCCAGGGCCGGGATGCGGGCGGCCTAGCGGGTGAGTTTGTTGCATGTCTCGGTCTCGGTTTCCGCGCGCCCCAGGTTTAATCTGGTCACCTCCACTGACTCTCTTGCCCCTCTGTCTCCCTAGACACGCCCCCTTATCCCGGACGGCTCCCCTCAAATAGCTCCCTCCTTTCTTTGAACAAAACCAACCCCGCCACTACTCTCCTTCTCGAGGGTGGCTGACTCAGCATTACCCCCCTCCCAACTCCGCCCCATAACCACGAGGCGCCAGAGCCAGTTGCAACCGGTTTCTGAAGTAATCTGCAAGTCTCCTTGCATCAGCTCTGCTGTCTTGTGATCCACGCTCCTCCCCGCTGCACTCTTTGGCCGGAGTGGGGTTGGGGGGAAGGGGAGGGGAGATTTCGGTCTCGGAGCAGCTTCACTTGTTAACCTAACACCCCACTGCCCATTTCAGGCCTGAAGGGGCATCTCGATTACCTGAGCTCTCTGAAGGTGAAGGGCCTTGTGCTGGGCCCAGTTCACCAGAACCAGAAGGATGATGTCGCTGGGACCAACTTGCAACAGATTGATCCCACTCTCGGCTCCGAGGAAGATTTTGACAACTTCCTACAATCGGCCAAGAAAAAGAGTGGGTGTCCTGGGTTTCCTAGGGAAGCAGTGAGAAAAGGCTTGGCCTTCTGCCCAGAAGAGCAGGATAGGATATTTGTCTGGTTTGCCCCTAACTGGCTCAGGTTTTCTTAGGAGAGGCACAGGAAAATTTGTTAGGGAATCTTTTTAGCTGACGAATCTTTTTTTTTCTGGTACGGGGCTTGAACTCAGGGCCTACACCTTGAGCCACTCCACCAGCCCTTTTTTTGTGATGGGTTTTTTCCAGATAGGGCCTCCTGTTTGCCAGGGCTGGCTTCCAACCTTGACCCTCCTGATCTCTGCCTCTTGACTAGCTAGAGCTAGGATTACAGGTGTGAGCCACTGGCCTCCCGCTTAGCTGGACAATCTTGAGGTTATTTAACTTCTGGACCTTAGTGCTTTTATTTGCAAAACAGGCTTTTACTTAATTAGTGGATCCACACCCCCCCCTTTTTAAATTTGTGAAACCGTGGATCCATTTTAGGAGGAAAAGCCCAAATACTGTGATCCAATTCAATATAGAAACACGTTTAAAAGGGTTCACTTTGGGGGCTGGGAGCCTAGGGTCCCATAGCTCAGCTTTCTCTGCTACACTGCAAGCCTTCTGCCTTAGAGCTTTGGCAGGGTTCATTCAGATCTAAGCTTTTGTACCAAGTCGTACACAGGAAACACTTAGTAGACTTTTATTTGATTTTCTTATTTTCCCTTACCCCAAAGGCTTTCTCACAACTCCCTCTTCCTCCATTGTTTCAGGCATTCGCATCATTCTGGATCTCACTCCCAACTACCTGGGCCAGAACTCATGGTTCTTCCCCACTCAGATTGACATTGTGGCCACAAAGATGAAGGTGAGTGTGTTAGGGCTGATGGCTGGTTGCAGCCACATGCTGGGGCTGTGTTAGTTCTTTCACAGTAAGCCCTGTAAACCTAGCCTGACTTGGATAAATAAGAACACCTCCCTCCCGTAGCTGGAAGAATAGGCCAACCATGCACCCTGTTTCTTGTTTCTGACTACTCATTTTTCTTGTTTCCTTGATTCTGAGGGTGAGACAGTGCCAGGAAGGGAATTTGTCAGATGTCAGTCTGGAGGTTTGATTTTTATTCTTTTTGGGATAGGAAATCCTTTCTTTCTCTGTGGGAATCCTGTTCTGACTGATTTCCCAGTTCTTGTTTGATGTATTTGGAGTGGAGCCCAGTCTGCAGTTGTGAGCACTGGGGTCTTACTATGTGCCTGGGACTATGCCAAGTATTTTATAGATGTTTTCCGATTCCTTGTATAATGTAACATAACATAAAGTGTTATGCCTAATCTGAAATGAGGAAGTTGAGGTTCAGAGGAGCTTTTTGTGCCTAAAATTTGAAGTCCCAAGTAGTCTTCTAATCTACTTTCCTCAAGGTAATGATACAAACTCTATATCCAGCAGGCTGGGAGTGCAGTTTTTTGATTCTGGGGATTAAAGCCTATGAGAACTGGACACAGTTAATTGCTTTTACCTGTAGGCCAAGCTAGGCACAGCCCTCGGCCACGAAACAGGGAAAGGCAGAACAGCTGCGACTCCTAAACTGTGTTCAGAGAAGCAGGAACCCAGATTTCTCCTGTTACAATGTCACGCCCCTCACAGTGGCTCCACCCTGAAGGAGGAAGAGGGGCTTTTGCTTTTTGGGCTTTACTTTGGGCTTTCTGATGTGGGAAGCTTTTGGAAAGGAAAATAATTACTGAAGGGAGAAGAATTGCTGAAGGGAAAAAATTGCTGAAGGGAAAATGCTAAAGACGGGCTGATAGAAAGTTTGCACTGTGAACTTTAACATAGGATTCAGAAAGCAAAGCTGAGAAAGAACTTCAATCATAGGCCTTAGGAAAACTAAAGCCAAAGAGAACATGGCACAGTGGACAGTGCAAGTCTAAGGACCAAGACTTTAAAAGTTATACATATGCAGATTGTAGGCACAGCTGTTTGCAAGTTTGTAGCACTGAGGCTTTAAGAGAGCTAAAGAGAGATGGAATAGTGCAAGCTTGGGGGCAAAAGACTAAGAGCAGTTAAGTAAAGATAAGCTAATAGCAAACATGGGACAGTGCGAGCCTAAGGAAAGATGTTTTAAGCAAGGTTTTAAAGAAGGCTTATAGAAGCAAGGTTTTAAAGAACTGCAAGGACCAAGTCCTTAAAGAATCAAGATAGAGAAAAAGAAGCAATAGAGTACAACACACCTGACCCCAAATTTCTATCTGTCCTATATCTTTCCTAAAATCTCCAGTTGCCTCCAGTTAAGCCCAGTTAGGTCCAGTAATAACCAAGGAGTGAGAGAAAAACCTCGCTCCAGCAAGGGAGGGAGCATGAAAAATAGCACCTCCTTCATTTGATGTCAGCTCAGTTTCTGATGCCTGAGTTCTAGGACATTGACATATTTACAAAGGGCAGAACAAGGGGGCTGCCAGTGTTGCTACCTGGGATGCTGAGATTGGGAGGATTGGTAAATAGTTTACAAGACCCCCATCTACCAAATAACCAGAGCAAAATGGACTGGAGGTGTGGCTCAAGAGGCAGAGTATCTGCTTTGCAAGCCCTAAGTTCAGACTTCATTCCCACCCCCCCAAAAAAAAAAAAAGTGGAGGCAGAGCCTGACACTTTCCTGGCAGCTGTGATCCTGAGCGAGAATTCTGGTCTCCCAGCATTTGGTTAGGACTCATGGGATCATCCATTTTGGCCCTTGCCAATTGGTAGGAGACCCTTTAAAAGTTGCTGATATGGAAATGTTTTCAGATAGTAGGGTACAAGGGGTGGTAGCCTTAGATGAAAATGGAGACCAGAGGGGAAAGCTGGTGAAGCAGAGAAAGGGAAGAGAAGAGGCAGTGGGGGAGGGGTTCCATGCTGTGTGCTAGATGAACTCCAGGACTTCAGGCCCTGGCCTGTTCTGCAAAGCTGGTCTTTTTTTTTTTCCAGATCATCTCAACTGCCTTAGGGTTGTGCTTTGAATTTTAATTTTTCATCCTTGGCTTTGCTTCCACAAGCTCTGATGCTCACACCCTTCCCAGGCCTCAGGAAACTGGGAGAGGAGTACGTACGTTTGCCTTGGCATTCAGCTGGCATTTTAGGTCTCTGCTGCTTCTTTATTATGGTCTTGGGCATGTCTCTTGGCTTCTCTGAGCCTCTTTTTTTTTTTTTTTGGCAGTACTAGGGCTTGAACTCAGGGCCTACACCTTGAGTCACTCCACTAGCACTTTTTTTGAAGGGTTTTCTTCAAACTGCAGTCCTCCTGATTTTTGCCTCCTGAGTAGCTAGGATTACAGGTGTGAATCACTGGTGCCCAGCTATCTGTGCCTGTTTCTTTACTGGCATTCCACCTATGGACACACATTTTCTCTTGAGCGTTTCTGTAGATGTTAAAGGTGAAGCTGTGTGATTTGCCAGAGGTAGGAATAGAGGAATACAATGCTATAACACACTAAGAGGATTGATAGAAGGTTAGAGTTGTTGGGGATTAGAGCTGAGCCTATAGAGTTGGGAGAGTGAGACAAGCTACAACTAGCAAGGCAGGCTTTTTTTTTTTGAGGCAGGCTATTTTTCAGAAGTCAAAGGGATATGTGTGGTGGGCTAGAGCTTGCCTGAGTATTGATATCATTCTTCTGTTCCCTTGTCCCCTGTAGGAAGCTCTGAAGTTTTGGCTGCAGGCTGGTGTGGATGGGTTCCAGGTTCGGGATGTGGAGAATCTGACAGTGAGTGCCCTTTCCACTTGTGAGGCAAAGCTTGGGTGAGATCAGAGAGTCTTAGCCATGGCTGAGTAATGTTCCTTGTTCCTTAATTCTGCTTTTTTACATCTAGAATGCATCTTCATTCTTGGCTGAATGGCAGAATATTACCAAGAGCTTCAGTGAAGACAGGTTGGTTCCAGATCCCCTCCCTGACTTAGCTCTATTGTAGGAGCCACCCCTTCCTCGCCCCACGTGGAGCACTGGAGTACCTAGGGGGTTTCCTGCTTCAGAGAACTCTCTTCACTTCTCTTCCTTCCTTCTTGTCCTGTGTCAACCTTGACATCCCTGCCCCTGCCCTGTGCAGGCTCTTGATTGCAGGGACTGACTCCTCTGACCTGCAACAGATCGTGAGCCTATTCGAATCCACCAAGGACCTGCTGTTGATTAGCTCGTACTTGTCAAACTCCAGTTACACTGGGGAGCATACAAAATTCCTAGTCACCCAGTATTTGAATGCCACTGGCAGTTACTGGTGCAGCTGGAGTGTGAGTACTGTTGGTTGGGGGCCTTTGGGAAGAAAGGGTTGTTGGGAGGTGGAGGCAGAGGCGGGTCTGAGAATCATTGGTGTGTTTGTCTCTGCAGTTGTCTCAGACGGGACTCATGACCTCCTTCTTGCCACCTGAACTCCTCCGACTCTACCAGCTGCTGTTCTTCACCCTGCCAGGGACCCCTGTTTTCAGCTATGGGGATGAGATTGGCTTACAAGTGTCTGCCCTTCCTGGACAGGTGCTGCTTGCTCTTTGCCCAGCATAGTGGGGGAGGTGGTATTTATTTGGTTCTGTGAATGGCAGCAGACACCAGACTTGGGACTGGAACTGTGTTCAGTTCCTAGTCAGTTACCTCATCAGTCACTGTATGACTTTTGAGCTATATATATATATATATATATATATTTGCCAGGCTGGTTTGGAACTCACTATGTACCCCAATACCTCATGTTGGACTTGAACTTGTGATCCTCCTGCCTGAACCTTCCAAATTCTGGGATTACAGGCATTACACCTGGTTCTCTCTTTTTTTGGCAGTACTGGCTTTTGAACTCAGGGCCTCACACTTGATAGGCAGGTGCTCTAACATTTGAACCACTCCACCAGCCCTTATTTTGCCTAGGCTAGGCTTGAACATAAAATTCACTAGCCTTTGTCTGATTCATTAGCCTTATCCTCTCAAGTAGCTGGTTTAGAAAGTTACTTTTCTGAATGTTGTTCATCTCTTCTGTGACACTGCATTTCTTTGTAGAATAGTTAGGATTAAATGAGGATTTTTTTTTTTTTTAAGAGATGGGGACCTTACTATGTTGTTATAGGCTGGCTGTGAAATCCTGGGCTCAAGTCAGCCTCCTGCCTCAGTTTCCCAAATAGCTGCCAAGACCTATTTTTAATGGTGATGCCTGGTATCCTGGTAGATACTCAATAATGGTAGCCATCATTCATTCATTCATTGGACAGTGGGTATTCTGTACTAAGCTCTGAGTACTCCAGCAGTAGAGTTTAGTGAGGAAGCCAGATGAGTAAACAGAGGTACATGGTTGGTGGCAAATGCCATTATGAGGCACTTCTACAAAAGCACTCACTAGCTTTAGCCATAGCTAAAGGAAGAATGGGAGAAGGGAGGAAGAAGATTGGACCTTGCTTTTTTTAAAGTACTTTTCTCTCTGTTCTTCAGCCTGTGGAGGCCCCGATCATGCCGTGGGATGAATCCAGCCTCCCTGACACCTCAGGATCTATAAGCGCTAACATGACAGTGAAGGTAAGGGATTTGTAGAGGTGGGGAGGTTGGTAGAAGTATGCACCCAGGAGGCCATCTCACCTCTGTGTTTCCATCACTTTCAGGGCCAGAATGAAGACCCTGGCTCCCTCCTTTCCCTATTCCAGCAGCTGAGTGACCAGCGGGGTAAAGAGCGCTCCTTGCTTCATGGGGACTTCCACACTCTGTCCTCTGGGTCTGGCATTTTCTCCTATATCCGCCACTGGGACCAGAATGAGCGTTATCTGGTGGTGCTCAATTTTGGGGATGTGGACCTGCCAGCCAGGCTAGAGGCCTCAAACCTGCCTGCCAGCACTAGCCTGCCAGCCAGGGCTGACCTGCTGCTGAGTACCCAGCCAAGCCGCAAGGAGGGCACCACCCTGGAGCTGGAAAACCTAAGCCTGGATCCTTATGAAGGGCTACTGTTGCGTTTTCCATATGTGGCCTGACCCCACCTGCCCAGGACTCACCACTCTCCCTGTTTCCTCCCCAGACCCTTTGAATTCTGTTTTTCCTTTCCTTTTTTTTTTTTAACTTTTAAAATCACAGATGAACCCCTAAATAAGGTGTTTTTTGTTGTTGTTTTTTTTTTTGTCTTCAAATAAAAGTCACCCTGCCTGGGGAGGTCTTGTCTTCCCTTGCCCTTCTGTCACATCAGGAATTTCCTCCATCTCCCTTCTCGCTGTGCCCCACACCCATCTCAGCCAGAGACTTCCATACATCTGCTCTTGCTCCTTCATTATTCATTAAGGAACAAAGGCCCAGAGAAGGAGGGCCCTCCTGTTACTGGTGGGTGCAGAGATCCTCAGATGATTATCAGGTCCTTGTCCAATGCCCCAAGCAGTGAGTTGAATGAGGAGACAGTGCCAAGCAAAGCCAAAGTTTATTAACTTGATAGAAATTTGTAGTATAATGTCACATGGGAGGGGTGGGTTCTGAGCAGGGAGTAGCTCAAGAGCCCTGCCTTAAGGAATTTGTCTTTTATGTGGTTAGGGTCATGGTGGTAGGAAAAATCTGGGTGATCTTTGAAGGAGGAGAGGCTAAGGTGATTAGCAGGTTTGATTGACAAGGTCTTGTTAAGTAACATGGGATATTTTGCGCATGTGCTTACACTGATTGCTGGGGTTTTAGTGATACTCATAAGAGGAGGTCCTAAGTAAGGAAAGTGGCTGAAAAGGTTTAAGACATGCTATTTCAACACCTGACTGTGGAGCTTGTTCCCTTTATCTTCCTCTCTAGAAGGACATATCTAATCACAAAGCAGATGCTACTGACTACAAAGGATGGTATGGAACAATTAAGGGAATTTGGGTGGCGTTGTCAGTTGACCACTTGCAGTTTTACGGTAACTCCAGTCTGCTGTGTCTCATCTCCAAGGTCAACAATAAGGAGGTTCGGGGCTGGGATCAGCATCCATGACTCCATCAGGTGTCCAGGAGGTCTTGGGTTTCCCCAGCTCTTTGTTATCGGGGGTGGTACTGGGGTTTGAACTCGGGTTCATGTAGGCTCTCTACCACCACTCTGCCAGCCCTTATTTTTGTTGGGTATTTAAGAGATAGTGTCTCATGAACTGTTTACCCAGGCTGGCTTCGAACCTTGATTCTCCTGATCTCTGCCTCCTCGGTAGCTAGGATTACAGGCATGAGCCACTGATGCTCCTTTTTTGTCAGCTTTTAAACTCTTAATCTCCCTTGGTAAAGGTTTCTAGCCAAGTTGAACAGCTTGTTCTGTTTAGCTGACCACTTGTCAGGTGTTTCAGGGAGGAAGAGCGAAGGTGGGATGGCTTGATGTCCTAAAGGTTCTTTTAAAGTATACTAAAGGTCATTCATTCAACAAGAATGTATTGAACACTCAGCATGCAAGCAACTGTTCCACATGCGTGGATTACAGCATGGAATGAAGTATAAAAATCCCTGCCTTTCTGGGGGTATAGCTTAGTGGTATGTTTGCATAGTATATACAAGGCCTGCCCCCAACCCAAAACAAAATGTCTACCTCCTTGGGGCTCATTCCCATGGTGAGATGGAGAAGAAATAAGAGGAATAAGATATAGAGTATGATGGATATGGTTGATAGTGTCCACAGAGGAAAAAGTAAAGAGGAAGGTTGTTTGGGAGGAGCGGGTTTAAGGTGGGGGCTGGCTGAGGCCTTTGAATAAAAGGCCTAAAGTAAGTGAAGGAGTTAACCTGGTGGTATCTGGAGTAGCTTTCAGGTGCCTTCAAGTGGGAACATGATTGATCTTGTGAGAAAAGAGGAGACAAGTAAGAGATGAGGTCTAGCCAGCAAAGGGATCATGAAGGGCATGGTAAGTTGGCCACAGAGCATGTAGAGTTTGACAGACACATAGTTCCCCAGAGACTGTCAGGCATCCTTTGCAAGCCAATAAGCACCCTCAGATGGGTAGTGTGGTAAAAGGATTCACGGAACTCAGTTTTCCTATAGCAAAAGGATACACAGTCAGCTAAAGGACAAGATGCATAGGGGTGGAAGTGTCCAAATGTGAATCTTTCCATTCTCCTCTCCCAGTGGGGTCCAGGACCCAGTACCACCTCCTAGCCATAAAGTACAAGGAAGCAGGGAGCTCACCTAATCCTTTGGTGTTCAGAGTTTCCTTGGACTAATCACATACTGCCTGCATGGCTGACCTTTGGTCTCCAGCCCCTCCCAGGGCATCAGTTAATACTTTAGAATACACTACCTGCAGAGGCTGCATGCTGCTAAGTGCTCCCCTTAAATCACATTGACTGCTCAATGGTGGCGGCTAATGTCCAGGCAAAGACAACTATCAGTACATTACAGGGACCTAGAGATTATCCTGCAGCTGAGGACAATGATCAGACTTCTGCATAAGAGTCCTTCACTGCTCATAGGGTCAGAGGAAGTGAAATGGGAGGTGTTTTGAGCAGAATGATACAGTCTGACACTGGATTTTAACACTCACTGGCTGACTAGGGACAAAGCAAGGGAGGCCAGTAAGGCTGATTTGCTGCTGGAACCTAGAATAGTCACTTGGAAGGTGGTGGTGGTAAAAAGTGGTTGCATCTTGCATTTATTTTGCAGGTAGGTCCATAGGACTTTGCTGTCAGATTTTTTTTTTTTTTTCCCTGTAGCACTGGGGTTTCAACTCAGGGCCTACCACTTGAGCTACTCAAGTGGTAGTTTTTTTTTTTTTCAAGACAGGGTCTCTCAAACTATTTGCCTGGGCTGGTTTTGATCCTCTTGAGTAGCTAGGATTACTGGCATGAGCCACTGGAGCCTGGCACTGTCAGATTCTTGTCAGCCTCACAGCCCTAAGAGGTTAACTTTGGCCCTCCTAGTCTTAAGAAAAAGTACAAATGACTGACAGGAAGTATGGTTGGGGTTTGGGGTGGGCCTGAGCCTCTGAGGATATTCCAGTGTAGAGGATGTGACCTGTAACTGAGTCTGAGACCTGTGAGGGAAGGAGTCCATTCCAGCTAACTGGAGGAGCATCATTTCTGAGAGGTTGCACCAGCCTTCTCCCTCCAGGTCACACCTCCCCTGCTTTTTTTTTTTTTTCTTTAACACTGAACTTCACCTTTGCTTTATTTTTATTTTAAAAATTTTTTTTTTTTAAATTTTTATTCACATGTGCGTACATTGTTTGGGTCATTTCTCCCCCCTCCCCCATCCCTCCCCCTACTGTTGTCTGTTGTCTATGCTGGGCCTCTTCCTGAGGCTCCCCACCCCTTCTCTCTTCATATCTTTTCCCAAGGTCCCAGCTCCAGCCCTCCTCTTTCCCCTCTTCGCTGCCTGTCTTCCCCTCTGACTCACAGTTTTTATCATGGTATCCCTACAGAGGTAGTCTCATCATGGTTACGTTTGTAATTTTCTGTGGATTTTCACTTTAAAAATAATGAAAAACCTGGGGATGGTAGTATGCGTCCATCATGGTGGGAAGCTTAAAAGAAGATTGCTGTGCTGGGCACCGGTGACTCACTCCTGTAATCCTAGTTACTCAGGAGGCAGAGATCAGGAGGACTGAAGTTCAAAGCCAGACAGACAAAAATCAAGATCTTATCTCAAAAATACCCCACACACATAAAAAAGGACTGGTGGAGTGGCTCAAAAGTGGTAGAGCACCTGCCTTGCAAGTACAAACAAAGCCCTGAGTCTAAATTCCATGCCAGAAAAAAAAGTGGTAAAATGCTGGCTGTGGTGGCACATACGTGTAATCTAAACACCTGAGAGGATGAGGAGTTTGAGGGCAGCCATGTCTACATACCGAGTACAGGTCAGCATGAACTACCCAGTGAGACTGTCTCAAAAAAAACCCAAAACAAAATAGAAAAGTGACAAACTATACAAGACATAAAACTTGGCATTTTAACAATTTTTAGGTGTACAGTTCACATTATTTTGCAACTGTCATCAAAACTCTTTTGCTGGAACTAGGATTTGAACTCAGAGCTTTGTACTTACAAAGAAGGTGCTTTGCTGCTTGAGCCACACTTCCAGTCCATTTTGCTCTGGTTATTAAAGATGGAGTCGCCTAAACTGTTTGCCTGGGCTGGCCTCGAACTGCAATCCTTCTGATTTCAGCCTCCCAAATAGCTAGGATTACAGGTGTGAGCCACTGATGCCCAATTTAGCCTGTTTTTTTTTTTTTTTTTGGTACTGGAATTTGAACTCAGGTCCTCAAGCTTGCTAAGCATGTGCTCTACTACTTGAGCCACACCCCCAACCCCATGTGGTTTGCTTTCCGTGGTTTTATTTATTTATTTTTCATTTATTCATAGGTGCATACAATGTTTGGGTCATTTTTCCCTCCCCTTCCTTCCCCCCACAGCTTTCCATGGTTTTACCTGTAGTCAATTGTAGTCCAAAAGTATTAAATGGAAAACTCCAGAAATAATGTTTTTTTGTTGTATCTGAATTTGAACTCAGCGCTTTGCACTTGCTAGGCAAGCTCTTTCCTACTTGAACCACACTTCCAGTCCAGAAATAAACAGTAAGTTTTAAATTGTGCCATTCTGAGTAGTGCAATGAAATTTGCTGTTCTATTCCATCCTACTTGGGACGAGAATCATCCCTTTGTCCAGGGTATCCATGATTTTTAAATTTTTATTGTTTGCAGTACTGAAGTTTGAACTCTGGGCCTCATGCTTGCTAGGCAGGTGCTCCACAACTTGAGCATAGCCATGTTTTATGTGCTACCTGCCTGGTGGTTGCTTAGTAGTTGTCTCAGTTACCAGATCAACTGCTGTGGTATTGTAGTGCTTGTGTTCAAGTAGCTCTTATTTTACTTACTGGCCCCAAAGTGCAAGAGTAGTGATATTAGCTGGGCACTGGTGGCTCACACCTATAGTCCTAGCTACTCAGGAGGCAGAGCTCAGGAGGATCACTGTTTGAAGCCAGCCCAGGCAAATAGCTCACGAGACCGTATCCCAAAAATACCCATCACAAAAAGGGCTGGTGGAGTGGCTCAAGGTGTAGGCCCTGAGTTCAAGCCCTAGTATGGCCCACCCCCCAAAAAAAAGATTAGTGATGTTAGCCAGGTGCCAGTGGCTCATGTCTATAATCCTAGCTACCTAGGAGGCACAGATTAGGAA